TGCCGTCTCTCTCTCTCTCTCTCTCCTCTCTCTCTCTCTTCCCCCCCCCCCGAGATCTTTTTATAGATACCAAGGCCAGAAGGGACCATTGTGATCATGGAGTCCGACCTCCTGTGTCACGCAGGCCCTAGGACTTCCCTGAATTGATTCCTCTGTGACCTAAAGCAGATCTCTGAGAGAAACATTCAGGCTTGATTCAGAAATCGCCAGCACTGCAGAATCCATCATGACCCCTGGGGAATTCTCCCAGTGGTTAATTCCCCTCACTGTTAAAATCTGTTCCTTATTTCTAGTCTGCATCTGTCCAGCTTCTGCTCTCAGCCTTTGGGTTGTGTTCGTTCTCTGTCTGTTCAATTGAAGAGCCATCGATTATCAAATTTGTGTTCCCCAGATAGGAACCTTCTCGTTGTTACGCTAAACAGCTCGAGCTCCTGGAGTCTCTCACTCTAAGGCAGGTTTTGCAACTGTTTAATCATAACCCTAACCCTGCCCTACTCCGTCTCCAATTTATTTCCATCCTTGAATGGTGGAGACCAGAATTAGATGCAGGATTCCAGCAGCGGTCGCCCCAGGGCGAAATCCAGCGGTAAGATTGCTCCTCCCCCCCGGCTTGTTTGTATGTGCATGTGCCATCACCCCACCCCTGAGAGGCAAAGAGGAGGAATTATCCCCATTCTAATGGGGGAAACTGAGGCCCAGAGTTCATCATGAGCTTAAAGGAGTTAGGCCCCCAACAAATCTCAGTGGGATTTTGGCTCCAAACACCCTTAGTCTCCTTGGAGATCACCAAGGGAAGTGACTGATCCAAGGTCAAGGGGAGAGTCTATGGCAGGGCTGGGAACTGGACCCTCTCCAAGTCCCAGCGCACTGTCGAATTGTCAAGACACATCTGGCTCAGGGCTTCCCATAATGTCTACCATGGCACTACCTAGCAGTATAAATTGGACCCAGACCTACTGAGACCCAGTTCAGTGTCCAAACCACACATCCAGTCTGCCACCGGTGGGGTTTCTGGGTTGCTGATCGCTGCGGTGTCTAGGTGGGTGACCAGCTCCTGGCTGCTCTAGGAAATAAACCCTGATGTAGATTTTGCCAGGGAGAAGTGGCTGAGGAGTGGGGATGGGGAGGGACTTTGATGTTCCTTGTCCAGCCACCAAGGTCTCTATGTTCTCTCACCAGGTGTAACTGGGCAGAGGCTGGGAAGCTGAGGCTGGGAGGATCATTGATGGAACCCCGACAGCCCCATTCCCATCGTCCTTGTCACCCCATGCTGTCCATCTGGGGATGTTGGGGAAAGGAGCTCAGCTGGAGGTGGGGGAAAGGGTTTGGGGGACTGGCATTCAGTAGAGATCCATGTATTTGTGTGTCTGAATTTGTATGTGTTTGTGTATGTGTGTCTTTCCCTGCTGTCCCCTGCTGAAGGAGATCAGCCCTGCTCTGTGTGTGTGACATTAATCTCATTGGCTGCAGGTCCTGGATTCCCCAAAGGAAATGGGGTGTCTCGAGAATGTACAAACTCCAAGAGAAGATGGAGACAGCTCAGAGCTCACACGTCACATTTATGGAAACAGTGGAAGTCTCCACAGATTTCATCCTACTACCTGATGGCTCTACCTAGTATGCACAAGTGTATGATCCGGTGTCTTTCTGTGTGTCACTGTTACTGGAGGAGATAATCTTTCCAGCAGCTCTGGAGAACCGGAATCCTATAACAGCGTGATCACTGTGAGGAGCCGAAAACGTGAACATAACAGACTCCCCGGAGAGGTACAGCTGGCATGGGGGGGCTCAGAGACAGGTTGGGGGCCACTGGGGTGTCTGGAAAAGACAACGGGTGAGATTTCACTGCATGAGAAGGGGCTCACAGAGCCGGGAGAAGGAGATGCTGGGAAGAAGGTTATTACTGGGTAACTGGCGTGAGAGAGGGATCCCACAGGAGGAATAGTTGCCCCCGGAAATTCCACTGCATCCCAATCTGACCCTGCACCCCAATCTGGCATCATACCACACCCCAATATAACACTGCATATTGACATAGCCCCGCGCCGCACTCCAGGATCTTACTGCAACTCAATAGGAGAGGAAGTTGCAGCCCTCGATACCTCCACACTTCACCCCAGTGCAGCATTGACCTGCAACCAATGTACTGTGTGACTTGTGTGTGATGTAGGAGATCATGTAGGTTGGCCCCAGGGCTAAACACAAAGAGAAAGAGGCCTTATTCTGGACTGATATTGAGAGAGGGTCACTCAACATGGATATGGCCTCTCCTGGAACCTGATGTATTGTGTAATCACAGGATTAGGGCCAGGTTTGTTGTGTATTTGGTTGTCGTGGTAATAGAATCTTGTGTTGCTATGGCAACTGAGTTAGATTATTAGGGGATAGCCCAGCCAGTTTTGGCTGGCTGTTGGTTAGTTCTGTGTGTGGCAATAAATGGCTGCTCCAAGGTTTACAGCTCTCTGTGTCTCCAGTGATTTCTTCCTAAAACTGTTTCCCCCAAGGATATAACAACGTGGCGACGAGGGTGGGATCCCTGTGCTGCCCCAGTAACAGAAGGAAGTTGAAGTTAAGGTACAAAACAAACAAACAAACCCTTTTTCTGCGGGAAGGGGATGAGAACTGGCTTGTTTGCACTGACTGTGAAACTGAAACTAAAACCATGGCTACACTGGAACCGCTGGAACCTTTCGAGGAGACTATAGTGCAATGGCCCATATATACTGAGTGTTTTGAGCTTTTCGTTATTGCAAATGATATTACAGAAGAGAAGAAGGTGCCAATATTCTCAAGTGTTGTAGGGCTAAGACCTACTCCCTGCTACGCAGCTTACTGCACCCTGTTAAGACAGAGACTAAATCTTACCAGGGCGGCTCTAGGTCTTTTGCCGCCCCAAGCAAAAAAAAATTTGGCCGCCCCCGCCCCCTTTTTTTGGCTTTTACACGTTTGCACTTTGTAATGTTGTTGTTTTGTTTTGTTTGTTTGACTGGGTGCGGTACTGATGCAGCATTGGGCAACGACTGCATCTGAATCTGCTTGAGCCGGGTGTATCTGCCTGAATTTCTTATTGAGACAGAGGAGCTGAAAAGCCCCATGGGCCACTAGAGCACCTGAGTAACTCGTGTGCCTGTGATATGTGCGGAGGGGAAATACAGACTAGAGAGGGACATTTCAAGAGGCTTAAATCCCCGCGTGCTTTGCTGCCCCGGTGTCAGGCCTGGGTCTCTTGAAGGAAGGCTACGGGGTTGTGCAGCCGCGATCGGAGGCTGAGCGAGAGCCCTCAAAAGGGGACAGTTATCTCCTGAGACAGCCCTGGGCTTTCCTGGGCACGCTCCGTAGTTCAGTCTTACTAGGAGCTGGGCTGCTGCTTCGGAGCGCTTTCTGCTCCTTTCCCTCATTTCAAATGAGCCTGACGTTCCCCAGATCATTCACTGACATGGGTGAGGAGCGCGCTGGAGAATTGCCTGCTGTCCGACGGGGGCTAATCCCGACACGGCCACTTGATCAAAGGGTCGGGTCATTATCTTTAAAAAGTTGTGCCTGAATGAAAGGATTTCTCACGGCTCAGATTCGTTTCCAAGGGGGCGGGGGAGGGAGAGAAGAAGGGGGAAGCCGGGCTAACCCTTGAAGGGGTATTTCATGGCACTCTCTCCCGGTGCGTCTCCCTGAGCCCCACTGGCTGTACTGCAGCGCGGTGTTACCTGGCTGGTGGCACTGACGGTGTTATTGGCTGCTCGGGGCTTCCTTCCCGGCCCTGGCAAGTTCTCGGCGGCTTTCTCGTTGTTCCTCGGGGGACTCGGGCTGTAGGGCTTTAGGAAAATGAAGTCGTTCTTGGTGGACTCCGGTGTCAGGCAGACTTTGTAGCAGTAGCCCAGAGGGCAGCTGCCCGCCACATCCAGGCAGTTGGTGGGCACTTTGTTGCCCGAGGAGAGCTGGGGATTGATGTTGGAATTTTTGAAGACATTGGCCGGAATGGCGCCCCTGGAAATGTGCCTCCCCAAGCACCTGCTTGCTTTGCTGGTGCCTAGAGCCGGTCCCGAATCTTACAGTGACATTGTGGGGTACTATTTTTCTCCCAAACCACTGGTAATTGTTGAACGATATAGGTTCCACAAAAGAGACCAGAAAGAAGATGAAACAGTTGCACAATTTGTAGCAACTTTGAGAAAGCTTGCGGAACACTGAATTTAAGGAGATATTAAATAACGCCCTACGTGACAGGTTAGTGTGTGGCCTGCACAGTGAAGCTATACGGAAGCGCCTATTGACAGAGGCTCAGCTTACCTTACAGAAGGCCGTTGATATTGCGGTCTCCATGGAACTAGCTAC